TTAACCTGAAAATCAGCAGCAACTACATGAAGAGCATATTTTTTTCCATTGCAATTTTTAGGAAAATCTTACATGTCGAGTTTTTCGAAATTTTCTGAAATAACCAAAAATTATTATTAATTTTAATTGAGTATCTCATTAAGAGAATTTCTAACAAAGTCATTAGAAGTGATAACGTACAAGTCTAAGAAAAAAGACTTTATTTCATTATAGTCCTTTGCTTAATGAACGATGACTGATGAAAAATAATGATAATCTTTTCATTATACTGATGATATTGTTATACTGCAATTTTTTTACAAACATCATCTTGCTCTGTTATAACTTATACTTTAATGCTGCTAGACTCGAATCTTGGGCCAATTGCCAGCAATAAATTCTTTCAGAATTACCTCAAATATGATGGTCTTCATCTGAACGTTGCACATCTGCAATGCCCGAATATTAGTCCTTCTAATAAATAGTTCTACGAAACTCGAGGAGTTCAGTAATCTTCTTCTTCACGGTGATGTATTTGATATTTTTGCCGCAACTAAAACTTGCCTAAAGGACTAGGTTTCTGACGCTACTACAGGTTTGCCACGGTATAAGCTATCTTGAAATGATCGACCAATGACCAGAGGACATTAGTACTATTAATGCTATCAAGCGACGATATAACGACGATATAATTTTAAAAGTGTGCCAATCTGTAGATAATCAAAATAAAGGTTATTGTTTAATAGCAATTGCGTTGCGGAAATGAGCGAGAATTTTGAAAAATTCTTTTATATTTGTCAATATCACTTTGGTTAAAGCGACAAAGGTTCGCGGGCTTTGACAAGTGATTCGAGACAGACAAGTGATTCATTCGGTCTTGCTCTGACAATTATCACGCTTACACACAATAGCTCTAATAATAAAGTCATCGATAATGAAGACTTGCTTCATTTTACAATATCCCTGCGAAGTTAAGTATTGGACAAAACATAGTTGCGGATCATTGCAATAAAACCGGTTACAGAAGATAGTTCATGTTCAAGTGCTACATGCTTCAGTAGGGATACATTTAACAGACAAAATTTCCATGTGGGGATTGCTGCAATACCGAGCTTAAGGAAATCCATAACCAACAATGAAAAATTGGAAAACTCCTTCAATGATACAAGTTGTTTCAAAAAAATGTTGTTTAACAAATTGTATGCTTGAGTTTTGCTAAAACAAAACTAAGCAATGTTTCCCTAACTAATACCTACAAACCTATCAAGGATCATAGATAACTCATAGGTGACTGAAGGGTTAAGTAATCTCGATTTAATCTCTTATTCATTTTCGACAGTTTTGAAAACAAATACTGACAACTCATAACACCCTTGTGTTGTTTTTCTTCCGTTGAGAGGCAAGGAGACCTTTTAAATTTCACTATGTTTACCTAAACGTAGCAAAACACTACTTGAGCTGCTAATTGCCAGAAATATCTATACACATGCACACGCTTTCGGTTAAACATTTAAGTATGAAGAAGAAGATTTGGCGTGTTTTAATTATGACAGTATTAGTTCGCTTTAACCCACATTTACATAACCCGTTATATAAATAAATAAGAAACATTAGTTATTCGATAGCATATATGCAGCCATCGTTGGGAGTTTATTAAATTAATGAAAATTTTGCATCGCGCAAGTACCCAACGACGAGGATCGTATGAAAAGTTTATGACTTAGGCAAGAAAGCATTTTTTTTTTCTTTTTTTGCGCAACGGAATTCATTCATCAACGTGGTTTCCTTCAAGGAAGATATACACTGTCCTACTGTTCCATAGCATATAAGAATATATGCTATATAAACATTTTATAAAATTTACCGGTTTGGCACCATTGGGCAATAACTTCAAAACATTCTTCAATACTCGCGCTAACTTCAATGTTTTATCTAAACTATTTTCTCCTGATCTGGAGTATATGGTGAATGCCTCAGCGAATTAATTTTGCCGTATGTCGTTATCGATTTATAATTGTGTGTCTTTGTTCCATTGTGATCCAAAGCGGCATTCAATCGCACGCGTCTTCCCATTAGCTTGTTCGAATTAAGGCTAATGACGGACTTGCAGCCATAATTCCGATTTCGAACTTCCTATATATTTCTCCCTTCTCGCTATCTCGTTAAGTTGAATTCAAGCATCAGCTGGCTCGTCTGCGCCAAAACAACAACGTTATAAAAATTGCAAATCTATCTCCCATAATTGTGTTCATAACGATTTCGCCATTCCATCATTAAATCCGATTTCCTTGGCATTGAATTAAGACTCCGGCCGACTGTACATATCGCCATTTTTTAATAATAGAGAATTGAGGAATTTTCGGTAATCATTAGGTGAAATATATTGTTCTAGAACAAAGTGTTATACAAATGAAGCAAACTAGATTGCCTACAGTGCTTCCATCTAAATGTTATCCTTTTTCTGTTCCTGCTTTTAGTCGAAGTATTGTGAAGTCCATTGTCTGGATTTTCGACGATAATGCTTCTTTAAGCCTAACAAATCGTTTTCACCCCGTCATCGTAATCAACCTTAAAAATATTCGTGTCCTCGACTGCCTTATATGATTATTCCTTCACTCGCGCTCTGGATCGATTTCTGCTCTTTTGTCACGCGTTCAAAAAGGGGCTTGAACATATAGAAGAATCTTTATACGCGTATATCCCTTCAGTGATGTCTTTATAGTGAGAAAGCTTTCAACGAACAGTTGTAAAGTGTAAATTTATCCAAAATACCGCAGGACAGTTCGCTTATGCCTAAAATGATAATTTCCTTACGTAGTCATACTTACTCTCCCTAATTGAGAATCCTACTCAATCCTCCTCCTATGCGCGGTTTTACAGATGCTCTCAGCGTTAAACTTTGCGTTCATCGTGAACGCGGCATTTGATAGCATTGCGGCATTGCGTTTGAGCAATGTGTCTTTGCTTAATACTGTTATTCATATACTGATTTTCCAAAAGAGGTTCTATAGGTTTAGTGGACGAAAAAGGGTTCCGATCCGAAAGATTTTCAACAGTCTTTACTTCTTGCGCCAAGTTATCTCGGCACACTAAACGTCATCACAATCTCTTAGAAATTTCTGAACACAAGAAAATAGGACAGATAGACGGATAGAAGACAAGCTTAGATCGATTCAAGAAGTAATTCTGAACTGGCCAATATGAAAACAGTGGGAATATCTCAAGTCTTTCTGGCTATTGCTTACATCCGCACTGACTTACTGAACTTCTGTATTATATACGTTGTAGGATATAATCACAAGTGATGCTGTGACCAAAAAGTAATTCATTATTCAATATATATTTTGCATATCAGATACATATTTTTTTTTAAATTGGAATCACTGTGGCAGACATCTGTGTCAAATTTAACGTCATAAACTTTATAAGTGTTTCAGCTGTGCTTGGTTTTGGGTATAAACCAACGACACAAAATGTATCTCTTTTGGTGGACACAATGTGCGATTTGGTTGTGGAAAGGACTTTGCATTACAGTTTGTTTGCGGAAAGAAATGCGATAAGACTTGCATACGATCTGGAAGCAATCGATCTTCCGCTCGAAAGAAATATCGCGCAAAAATTGAGCCAAGATCGAAAAAATGGGGCCAAAAATCGCTCAAAACCCGAGAGGATGTTAATAGCTTTGTTCATTAAGAATTCGTTCCATCGCGCCAAACTGTTTTATGCGTCGTTTGCGGGAAGCTATTCGCAAAGACGAAACTAAATTGGTCTTACTTTTTGGACAGTAGTAAATGATAGAAATCAAGAACTATGATCAGAATGTCTTATCTCATATTCTCATTCTGTAAATAATTTCCATGATTGATAAATTTACTTAATCTGCTTTGCATTGTCTTAACTAAATGTTTTTTGGTTTTTATAATTCGGTTTTTTTTACCTCAATCCTTGTATTTACAGGAATTGTGAAAAGTTTTATGTTTCGAAGTAACTGAGCGTATCAATACCAAATTTCAACTCTGTCTACTGCAATGTTTGCTTAACAGCAAACTTTATAGAACAGACACAATGTTTGCAAATTTGCAAAAAAAAAAAAAAAAAAAAAAAAATGTCGAAAGACCTTTTATTTGATTATCAATGCAAATGACTAAGCTAAAGCAGAAATTCGCTTAAGTATAAAAGTTTTTACAGGAAAACTTTGAAAGCAAGTTCAGTTCAGTTAGCGTTCTTTGAACATCGCTTAAATCTAAAATTTGTTTTTCGTAACTTTTTGTTTTCTTTATTCTTATTTTGTTTTTTTTTTTTTGTTTCTGTCTTTTTAACCTAAAAAAATTTTCCTCAACAACTTTATATAAATCTCAAAACTCTTTGAAAGGCTTATTATTAAAGAATTTTTTTATTATTTTATAACAGAAGAGATCTTATTTTCTTTTCCAGTTTTTTTTTTTTTTTTGTTTGTTTGTTTTTGTTTTTATTTTGGTTTTTGTTTTTTCTTTATTTATTTTTTTTTTTTATTCCCCACCTCAAACTATAAAGCGCTTAAACGACGACAGAAAAAAAAAAAAAAATATTAAAATAATAATAATAATAATAATATATATATAACATGTAAAAGCTTACCTGATCTACCGACTGATATTGTTTGTACTGCAGTTGTTGGTGACAGTGTCTTATCCGTTGGTAGAGCTGCAGGCGGTACCGGTAATGGACTTACTGTCGATGTCGTTGTTAAATCACAGCATTCCCGTTCAGGGAATTCACTACAACGTACCAGCTGTAAGGCGCCAAAAATTGCAAACCATATGCTCAGGCAACAAGAAAGAATTTTTAAGTTTTTTATTTTGAATCGGGTCATGACGTTGCCAGTGATGACAACAATGCAAACGCAGCGAAACGTTCAAATGCTAACAAACAATAGCTGTTGTTGTGTGAAGAATGGTGGCGATGATGGTTGTAGTGGTGGTGGTGGTGGTGGTGGTGGCGGTGCGGCCGTAGATGATGAGACACGAGGACCACAAGCAACACTGACACCACAACCAATGTTGTTGTTATCGTAGTCTGAACTGTTGTTCCTGTTGTTGTTATGGTGATTATTTTGTTGTTTAAAGTTTATGGTGATTTTCTTCTTTACTTTTTTACTTATTTCTCTTATGCTCTTTTTTAGTCGCTTTTTATTTTTTAAATTTTGTTGCATTTATTTTCAACAAAATATGTTTATTTAAGCTTTCTTCAGTTTTCGTGTTTTTCTTTTTTTTTTTTGGTATTTTTTGGCTTAAAACCAAGTTGAGTTCCTTTTGGTTTCTCTTTTTGAAATTTTAAATAAATATTCTATTGATAACAATAAACATATACACTGGCAATGCCTGCATATCCAATGCTTCAGCATTTAATAGAATACTCTTAGAGTTTATTAAAGTATTTCAACTTATTTCCGGTTTTTCCGGCTTTTCTCTTTATGTAAACAAAACAAAAAAAAAACAACAAAAAAAATCCTAAAATTTAAACCAAAATATATATATATATATATAAAGTAAATGGAAATAAGTTTATTTCCAAAAATATTCGAAAATATTGCAAGTAAAGCCCAGTAACTTCAACCGGTACAAGTGCGAAAGTTATCTATTTTCCTATTTTTATTTATGAAATTTACACTTTTCGGGCCATTGATGGGATGAAAGAGAAGAGTTTTTAAATATGGTTTTTGCATTGTACTCGATATAATTTCACGATCGCGATGTATGCCATGGCAGAGGAGGAAAAATCATTTCATTACAAGATTCACTTCTTTATTATCATAAATATATAGATTTTAGATAAAATTTTTTCCATTCTTCTAATAAAATCCTCCTACTTCAGAGCTTCAGAATTGTTTATAAATTCACTAAGAAATCTCTTACTTAGTTTGTTTAACAGTTGTTGAACAGTAGTTGAATTACCGTAACAGTAATCATTTCAAGGAAATTGATGCAATAATGTCTCTATGGAACAAGAATTGTCAAGACAAAGCTGTCAGTGTTATTGTTAAGTAATATTTGGCAGAACAACTAATAAAGAGGTCGTGCTTAGAATTAATTAATCGGGGCATTGAGCAAGCTCTGGTTGTTCGTTACGAGAAGATGTAATTAATAATACCAGATAACCAGTTAAATTGTGATTTCTTTATCTTTAATTTTCACATAGCTTTATATATCTACAATATAAACTACTATCTTAGTATGCAGGATAAACAGTATCCTTGCTGTTGATTTGAATAGAATGACTTTTTCTGCTTGGTTCGCAAAGCAAAGGCAAGGCGAAATGCTAGCAGAGTATAATGCAGACCAAGCGAGCCATTAGCATCTACCCTGTTTCGGGGATGGGTGGAGATCAGCTGCGTCCCTCGCTTTATCGCTTTTCTCAACCAATCGAGAGTAGTTCTAGGGAACGCTACTAACAGCAATTGCATGAATTGTGTTGGAACACGGGCGCAGCATGTCAAAAGTCATGATTGCTTAGAATAATGATGTTCGGTCCCATATAACAAAACTCGTCCAGAAAGCTTTAGAAGCACTAAACTGGGATATGTTATCCTTCCCGCTGCTATTAACGGTCATTATGTTTTCTGTTTAGCATTGCAATTTATGAACTGCATGAGCTATGTGTCCATTTCAGCTCAGCTTTCTCAGCCATCCAAGCTGGAGTTGTCCACATACCGCATGATCACATTGCCCAACCTTTAGAATAAGCAAATTGCAACGATCCGTACCATCGTTCAAGTCGAACTTACACAAATATCAATCTCGTCTTTCCCCTTTCCCGGTTTATACTCCTTCCTAATTATCATCGTGCTCGCACATATATTGAATGATCAGCAAAAAATTTTCTACACCCAAACAGTAGTTTCTTTCGACAAGAAGTTTATATCCTACCTTCAAGCGGAAAGATGTATACTTCCAAGAAAATATTTCGTTGCCTTTTTTTATACTCTACCCCGCATCTCGTACAAGAGTATGTTGAGCTCGTGCGAGCGTCAGTATATAGCTTGTAAAAGGACATGTTTGTACGTCTGTCCGTCTTATATTGTCGTGCTTAACCCACAGATTGCAATTTCGGAAACGTTTATGCACCGACGCGTTTTAACCGAGGAAGGACCAGCCCACTTTTTCGACCACTTCCCATTACTTATTAAAAATTAGGCAGAAATTTATCCATATTTAATTAAATCTAGTGACTTAACAGAATATACAATTATATATAATGTATATAAACATGATTATATTGTTATATGCCATCATGCGTTGAAGTCATCAGTAGTTGAAATACTTTTTCCACTGTCGAATATTAATTCTTATAACGTTCAGTATCTAAGGATTGTGCATCAACCAAAAGCACGCATACACCAACTTTCGAATGATTATCTCAATTTTTGTGACTACGAGTATAGTCCAACAGCAGATGACAGAGAGATGAACAGATGGACAGACTTACTTGACTGAGAATAATCTTAGCCTGAGCAGGAGAGTGTGTATTACGGAGTGTCTGACGCGCTTCTCCGTCAAATCAAATCTGTTATACCCCATCGTTTAGTGGTGCATGCTTTTTAAGCTTTAATATAATAACATCAACAACATCTAATTATTAAATTATAATTATATCTTATTTTTATTTCTTTAAAAAAAAAAAAAAAAAAAAAAAAAAAAAAAAAGTTTTTAAAATGAATGTCAAAAGTTTGAAATGATTGATAGTGCATACATAGCTGCCATCACTGATTATTACTTTTTATTAGAAGTTTAGAATGCGCTGACTTTCAACTAAATTGATTTTTGTTTTGAAAATTAATTAAAATTTTCTTATTGTATTTTTTAATGGTGGCTCAATCAACTTTCTTTCCCGTAAATTTAATTTATTATAACTCATTTTTGTGTACCTCTACCCAAACATATGTATAAACTTATGCCAAAATCCAAGTAATATTCACATCACCACAATAGACAAGTATCATCATTATCATCATCATCAACATCAGCAAATTGCTAACTGTGACTGACGAACAATTGCTTAAAACGCACCCGCTTGCATATGCACAACAATCTACTGCTTCTTCTTCGTTTTTTTTTTTTTTTTTTTTTTTTTT